CGGACATCTTGGTGTTTCCCGCACACTGTCACGAATACAAGAGAAGTACTATGGCCTCGCCTCGCTGCCGACGTCACCCACTACGTAAAAACATGCAGGAGACTGTCAGCGACGCAAGACGCCGACAACTAGGCCAGCCGGACTTCTGCAACCCGTCGAACCACCTCAACGGCCATTCCAACAATCGGCATGGACTTACTGGGGCCGTTCCCGACGTCAACTTCTGGCAACAAATGGATTGTCGTAGCGACTGACTACCTCACCGCCGCTATGCCGAAACAAGGGCCTTGCCCAAGGGCACTGCCGCCAAGGTCGCCATGTTCTTCATTGAGAACATCGTCCCTCCGCCACGGAGCCCCCGAGGTCCTCATCACCGACAGAGGTACGGCCTTTACGGCTGACCTAACGCAAGCGATCTTGAGGTACAGTCAGACAAGCCACCGCCGAACCCACCGCGTACCACCCACAGACGAATGGCCTCACCGAGTGTCTACATAAGACCATCGCCCGACATGCTGGCCATGTACGTGGACGTCGAGCACAAGACGTGGGACGCCATACTCCCGTATGTAACCTTCGCGTACAACACGGCCGTGCAGGAAACGACGCAGTTTGCTCCATACAAGCTCGTCTACGGACGGAGCCAACAACGACGCTTGACGCCATGCTACCGGTCGGCACCGACGAAGAAGACCCTCGACGTCGCCAGCTACCTGGATCGCGCTGAAGAAGCTCGACAGCTAGCCCGCCTGCGTATCAAGAGCCAACAGACGGTCGACAGGCGCCACTACAACCTTCGACGACACCACACCGAATACCAACCAGGGACCTTGTCTGGGTCTGGACGCCGATACGACGACGGGGATTGTCTGAGAAGCTCCTGCGACGCTACTTTGGACCCTACAAGGTACTCCGACGTCGTGGTGAACTGGACTATGAGGTCGTTCCCGATGGCTTAACGTCATCCCAACGACGCCGTGCACGACCCGAAGTCGTACACGTGGTGCGACTTAAACCTTATTACGCGCGCTGATTAGCTGTGACGCATTGTTAATGTAATTTATTGCATGTACTCTTTCTTATGTTCTGTCTTTAGCATCGGAACGATGCTTTTTCAGAGGGGGGTAGTGACACGTGCGGTTCTTTTGGTTTACGAAGGAAGACGCTATCACTTTCTGTTAAGCGCAACGCAGGCCGCGTTTATCTTGTATGCCACTCTGGAACGCGTTATGACGCGTGTATAAAAGACTGACACGTGCGGTTCTTTTGGTTTACGAAGGAAGACGCTATCACTTTCTGTTAAGCGCAACGCAGGCCTCGTTTATCTTGTATTCCACTCTGGAACGCGTTACGACGCGTGTATAAAAAAAATTGCCCGCAGCTTCCCTCGGGGGAACACTGAGGAGGATGCGGACCATATAATTGGTTAACGGGGTGTTAAAGTGCGACTTACTTGGGTCGATGGCTAAATTGGTTAACGTGGTTGTGAAATGGGGTGTTAAATTGCGACTTACTTGGGTCGATGGCTAAATTGGTTAACGTGGTTGTAGGAGGGGGTGTTAAATGAGTGAACACGTACACACGTATGCGAAAGGGTGGCGCTGGTCGAAGGGACGTCGATCATTGTGTTTGTGGATTCGTTGGAATTCATTTCACCGCGACCTTGGACGTCGACGCGCCGTACAAACCAACCGACGAGCGGCAACTGAGCGAGCGAGCGCCGACCTTGAGTATATATACAGCACGACGGCGCATGCACTGTCAGCTGTTGAATGTTCTCGAAGCGCGACGCCACATGCGCGTCCACTGGAGAATCAGGAGAATTGTAGATGTCGAACGCGGTGTGTAGAGGAGGAAGGGTGCACAGATGGTGGAGGAGTGAAGCGCGCGCGGTGTGTAGAGGAGGAAGGGATGCACAGATGGTGGAAGAGTGGGCGACGGCGCGACGGCGCATGCGCGCGCGTCAGCTGTCGAATGTTCGAGAAGCGGTGCGGACGGCTCACTACAAGGCGCGAGTATAAGATGCTCCGCATCTAAAACTGACACGTGCGGTTCTTTTCGTTTGCGAAGGAAGACGCTATCACTTTCTGTTAAGCGCAACGCAGGCCGCGTTTATCTTGTATGCCACTTTGGAACGCGTTACGACGCGTGTATAAAAAGCCGGCGCAGTGCGCCACTGGGGGTCTTTTTTTTTTTCCGTCGGCCGACGACTGTTCACGCCGCTGTTGCTGTGAGTTGTGTTTGGCCCTGTTTTGCTGGGCACAAGTTTGCCCAATAAACAGTTCGCCTGACACCGCCCTGACTCCTGCGTGCTTCCTCTCAAGTGCTGCGTGTATCACAACCTCGTGACAATATATATATATATATATATATATATATATATATATATATATATATATATATATATATATATATATATATATATATATATATATTTGCAGGCATAGTGGCGAAAGAAGTAGCTGTAGCGTTGCGTTGCAAACAGCCAAATGTATCTTCCGTGAGAACAGTACCAACAGAACTTCTGTTGTAGCTGTTCTCAAGGAAAATCTACTTCCCTACATATATTTATATATACTTTAAAGATTTGGGTACTCCGTATCTGCGCATGTAAGTATACTCACATCTGCACACAAAATCCTCTTTAACCATTCTGCACCTCAAATTTCGGTGGCAGAGCTCCATCCAGAGAAATTTCATACCCTTCTTGCTCATGTCGTATGGCACTGAAGCATGTAGGGAAACGAAAAAAAAATCAATGCAATTGTTAAATATTGAATGCAGTTTTAAGTATCCAGACCACAATAAATTAAGAGGCACACAATAGTAGTGAGGTACCATGGATTCCCCTCTTGTAATATTCATATGGGACTATTATGGCACGAATCACTTAGCGTTCATTAGCATAAATATTTACGTGCGTACGACAACGCTGGACCTGTTAGATTATCGCCCTTCATTACGTCGTGCTTGTATAGAGTGCGCCCATATTTCCAACTGTTCCTGCCATTCCGTTGTCGCCTGTCATCACAACGGCAGAATTCAAGATGCTGCAACACCTTCTGGGTGTACGCGGGGTGCATTTCTGCATCTCGCAGCGTCGCACATTCCTCTGTCTCACAGTAGCATACACTTTTTGGATACGATAGATGAGATGTTATGCGAAGAGGTCGTTAGCCCCATGAGTTCTCAGCTATTGGCCTAGCTTTACCAAACATCGTCCACAATTACAGGCTCTATGGACAGCCAGTATTTGTGGCAGTAGCTGTTACCTTTGTAAGGCAGAGCTCCTACACAGTTCTGTGAGCCGACTGTGGCCTCCTAGCGAGAGGATCCATGAAAGCATATTCAGCAATGCTACTAACCTCCTCGCAGTCATGGCAGGTAGACTCGAAAGCCTCCGAGGAAATGGGGCAAGAGAATCATAGACTAGAAGAAGACCTGTACTATAACAGTTTAAACGTAATGGCTGGTGGTCTAGACAACTTGCTGTGTGGAGAAGGAAAGAACCATCTACTGAACTGTTGCATTTAGTCGCTTCATTTAGGGTAAGTAAAGCTACCAAAGCATCCCTAAACACTCCACAGCCAACCAGTGGACGTACGTCCTCTCCCCGTGGAGATTCAATGTGTGCACACAGGACTTATCAGCGGCGTTATGGTTTGTGAGAAAGTCCAGTCGCGATTCGAGATGTGTAAAAAACCAGGTAATTCTGTCTCGAGAAAGTCATCTGTTTTAAGGTACCCTGAGTGCTTCGGCAGAGCTGAAACGAGACACAGAAGTACTTTACACCGACCCGTATGAGCTTCTTTTCTTCATCTCCGGCGTCACTCTCGTTACACGTATGCCGAGTTGTCCGGCGTGAAATGAGACATCTCTGACGGGTGGGAGCTAGTGCACATAGAAAGGAAGACAAAGGAAAAGATCGTAGAAAAGAAGGTAACAACGAAAAAAAGCAGAAAATCAAGAATAATATAAAAAAGCAGATAAAATTGCGGAGAGGCAACAGAGCACAATACATGCAAAAACATAGTAACCAACATACAAAAAAACTGCAAAATAGAAAAGGAGAGAGTAAAGTAAAAGACAAAAATATACAAAAAGACTGTAATAGGAAGAAGGAAAGAAGCGAGAAGTAGAGAGAGAGCAAGGGAAGAGATAGAATGAGTGCGAAAGAAAGCAAAATGTATTGAGACAGAAATAAATAATACAAGTCAACGGGTTGAAAAGATAACAAGAATGCAAAAGAAAGGAGAGGGACAGAAACAAAAAAAAACAGACAAGCAAGAAGAAACGAAGAAGGTGCGCCGCCTCGGCACTTTCTTCAGGTTTAAGCGCGTGAGTGCCAAGCTGCATTAATATTGGTAAATTTCGCTTTCATCAAGGAACGTTTTCAGCAATATTGCAGAAGATGCGTCTCTATATGTAGCTCGAGGCCAGGCCAAGGGAACTCTGACAGCTTTGACAACTTCGACAACATAGTTGGTTCGTTGGGTACAACCATTGTGATTTCTAGTTTAGACGAATGCATGCAGATATTATGCCCATGGTGTGAACATGTTGGCTCTGCAGAGAATATGGAATATAGCCTCTGTGTGGTAGTTGCACATACTGGCAGCGGAGCATAGAAACGCAAGAATACGGCAAACCAATGTTTGTCTTTATCCATGGTGGCCGGATTCCAAGCCTAAGCTGCAGGAATTCATGTACTTAGTTTATGAGGCTAGCCAAGTACTTACCGCACGCAACTTTTTGTCTACCAACTCCCCAGAGACATGTGTATCTTTCTTCGACTGGGCATGGTGGTTTTCGGCAACATGGAGGATACTCTAAGGAATGATGCCAAATAAAAAAAAGTAAATATGTGCATTTGTTTCATTAGCATCCACATTGCTGCATTGAGCCTAATTAGGTTTACTGCAGTACAAGTGCTCTCGCAATGATAAGTTCACCATAGCATTTGTGAGCAGATTTCATTTTATCCTCGCAAAGCTTCTTATTGATCACCGTGTGTAATTCGCTGCCTTCTTTGAACGCATTTCCCATTTCTTTCTATGCAATGAATTGCTTTCATTACTCATTGATTGTTGCTCAACGCATTGCGTCGTCGGTGCAGGTTCAATTTTGCACTTGGTGGAAACTATACATAGAATGTGCGATGCCCAGTTTGTTCTAGACGTGTAATGCCGTCTTCCGAACTTTCATTGTTACACTTATACCTAACATTTTCCGTTATATTGCAGGCTGCATTGCCCTTGACTCCGCAGCCAGTGTTTTCATTCAGCAGCATAGGTAAGAGCTCGTAGGATTTTGCTACATAAATGCATTTCGATTTAAGGACTCTGGATGATGAATGGTCGTTAGCTGCGAGTGCTTGCCGTATGCGATCAAGTTCATGTTCGCGCTTTAGTGAATTTGTTTTCATGAGGATGCTCTCATATTCGTAATTCACACACACACACACACACACACACACACACACACACACACACACACACACACCACACACACACACACACACACACACCACACACACACACACACACACACACACACACACACACACACACACACACCACACACACACACACACACACACACACACACACACACACACACACACACATATATATATATGTGTGTGTATATATATATATATATGTGTGTGTGTGTGCAGACTCTAATTATTATCTTTCAGTCATGAACGCCTGGATTTTTCACCAGGTGATTGTCGATTGCCTAACTCTTCATAATAATTATTGTAATTCTCGTTTATTTCTCGGTTTAACTGCTCATTATTATCTTTTACTTTGTCGCCATCGCTGATCAAGAGACTCATTTGTCGTTCATTATTGTAATGTTATATTATTCCAGCTCACTCGAGCTTTTGATGATTTCGGGCCCTAATTGTAGAGTGGTACTGGTTGTGGAGGGTCTTTAGGGGACACATTGTCATAGTGGCTAAGCAAGCACGTCAGAGAGTGGTCCTATATAACTTGGAACGATACGCTCTAACAATGCAACGTTCATTGCTTATTAACTAAAGAGAGTCTCTGTCCTTTCCTTAAATCATTTCTATTTCAAAGACGACAGGGATACTTCAACTACAGGTACGAATCGGCCGATTGACCAAGTTATATCCATGTGCTGCGCCACATATTAGCAACGCCTGCTTGATGCTAACAAGTGTTTCAGCTTCAGGTATACTTGCATGAAACAGGTGAAGGTGTGCTAACAGCAATGAGCAAGTCGATTTACGTGAAAAGCTCAATTAACGGCCAACATGGCTGTATTCAGAGGCGAAGGCAGACGGTTGCTACAACGAAGGCTTGCTACACGAGGAAAGCATGCTGCAATATGACAGGGCTACTAGAAGAACTTACTTGGTATCTTGATATCACTCCTGGCGAATACGCAGTGTACCACACAATACAACGCGAACAGCTTCAATATCATGATTTGTTAACAGATGTGGAACCAGCGATTTTTTTGAAGAAGCTTGAATATCTGCATTCAAGTAAACCAGTGCAGGGCATAATGATTAGTGATGATGTGGAAAGAATTTTAAAGTGTCACACAAGATGGTTTAACGCAGCGTAACATTGCTTCGGCTAATAAAATGCGAGGACTTATTATTATGCTGAGATAAGAAGTGCCACTAGACATTATTTTCTTATTATTCTCAGTGAAGAACATGTAAAATATATATGCGCAAATTTTCTTCACAAGACACTCTGAAAATGCAATTGCATTCGATTTATACTCGAACCTAAGTTTGAAGACTACAGGAAACTATCATGCATGTTCAGCTATTCAGGGCTCTCCGCACAAATGAAATCCACGTGAAACAGCTCCTTTTGTACACAGTGAAAATTATAATACTTGAAATTGCGATAAACCTCAACACCTACTTAATCGCTGAAATAATTTATGTTTACCCTGTAGCAATTTTGATATGTAAGTACATTGAACAAATGCGACTACAAATGTCTTATGCAAAAAAAAAAAAGACTAGGCCCGGGTGAGTTTTTATGTGCTGCAAAGACTTTGCAGTGGTTGACGTTTATTACATTGTTCAGCTCACAACTACCGTGCTCACAACGATGGCGACCCAGACAACAACACTGGTGTGAACGGCATGGCACCGTAGGTTTCGGGTGGTGGCAGGGTCACAATGGCGGCTTGTGGCCTCACGAAGACCGCTACTACAAGCCACCAGCCGGAGGTGTGGTGGTATTGCCGCTAAATGAGCCCCTTCGCGATCAGCATGAGGGCCCACCTCAGAGAGCGCCCAACATCACCGGCTTCGCCCAGGGCAAGGTGGTAGTGGCTCTTTACATATACAATGCGAGAGACGATGGTGATCTCAGCTTCAGGAAGAGAGACCGGCTTTAAATTCTCAACGATAGTGACCTTGACTGGTGGCATACCAAGCAGCTGAATGGCATTCAGATTGGCTATATTTCACAGAACTACTTGGCTTTCGAGAAGATCGTAGAGAGCAAAGACTGGTTCTTCGGCAAGGTCTCACGGATGGACGCCGAAAAGATGCTCATGCTTGCCTCCAACACAAGGGGCACGTTCCTCGTTCGAAACAGTGAGCAAAAAACAGGAGCGTTCTCGCTGTCAATCCGCGACTTCGAGTCAACCAAGCGTGCGTCATTGAAGTCTGCGCAATTGTCTACTGACGTAGAGGAAGAATTGCAATGTCAGGGTGAAGTGCTGCTACCTTGAAAGAAAACAAAGTAGTTTGGGCAGTCTGCGGCATTTGTACTGTCAGTGGCTTGTGTTTCTATTTTATATATTTTGCCTGCATTTGCAAAACGTTTTTTGAGATTTCGCAAACTATCACGATGCAATACGTTCTGTATTATTCCGCAAGTTCTAACAGCCCTGTTGAGCTTGATAGCTCGGCTATGTAAGCGTGGCGTCAGCATAATTTTATTGTAGGAACAGTGTTTTCAGCAGTTCTGATTTTGTGGGAAGGAGCTTAAGGCACCTTCACATGGCTTTCTTTAGCGTGAACGCATGCCTCGGCATGTACAGCAAACTTAGCCCTACAACATCAACAAAATTACAGCATATCCACGGAGTGAATCATGATGAGTGAGGCAAAGCGTCTGTCCATTCATCTGTCTTGTGTGTCTGTCCATTCGTGCATGCGTCCATGCGAGCGATCACATTCGAGAATGCAGACGGTGCACGGGTAACACCGACGAGACGCGAGCCTAGGAAGCCGAGCTAAACTGTTCTTAACACGCCCGCCACTCTGCTCCATCCATGCCCCAGGAACGATCCACCACGTATCGCTACTATATAGGAGACTGAGAGAGCCACTTATTCGCGCACTATGCAGATGGCGCGCGGGTAACACCGACGAGACGCGATCCAAGAAAGCAGAGCACAAGTGTCTTCAACGCGTCCTTCGCCCTGCTGTGTTACCATGTCTAGAAAGTTACTGTAGCTGCGTCCACGCCCCATCAACGATCCGCCACGTATGGCGACTGACTATCCAGGAGACTGAAAGAGGTACTCGTTCGTACATTCAGGCAAACTGCGTGCAGCAGCGAATCGGAGAGTAGTGGCAGAGTAGTGCCATTTAGGAAATCAGACGAAATTTGGTCATTCATTTTTCTTTCTTGTCTCTTCTTCTCTGAGTTACGCGTGACTAGTGACAAGATTAGACTACAAAAAGCTTCGCCCCTAAAACTGACTCGTTTTGCTATCAACGTTAGCTTTATCTGTAACACGATTGTCGCCATTTGAGGTCTTGTCTGCTGAGCCAACATCCTCCCGAGATGAGATGTCGGTATCGACACTTTCTGCAAACAAAAAATAATCAAACCAAAAGGCATTGTGATCACTCTTGGTTGGTGCGGTAGCTTAAATAAAGGTACGGAAGATATCACGAGCAATAACAACATATTCATCGATAGTTAAGGCACAGATCTACGAAGCCTTAAAATGGAGCCCTGATGCCATTGAATCATCGTACATGATGAAGCATTAAATTTATTCAGTGTAACAGTAGACAGCCATTATTTTTTAGTGTTTACATCTAGTTTATTAAAAATATTTTTATGAAAAGCTAAACAAAAATGGCTTGCCATGTCACAAGCACAACCAGTATAAGCAGAGGTAAAGGTACGCAATGGAATTATGTATCTGTTACAAGTTATTCACATGGCGGTGATGGGTCCTCCTGCTCCTCATTTCTCGGGTAATATCTAAGTGTAATATATTATGCTCAAGAACTACTCAAATTTTCTGTTGTAATAAACAACTGCAGAGCAGTTATTTAATGGAAAAATACAGTATCCGTAACCTTGAATATCTATAGAGACTGTAGAAATGGCGATACTGTTTTAATGCTTTAGTACTCAATCCAGCCTTATACCGAAAGAAGCAAAGGCATAAACTGATACGCAGGCTGCCAGTTAATCATGTAATGGTGAGAAAGAAAGCACAGAAATTCATTTTCGCTTCACAGCGTTGACAAAATGAATGATAATATTACTGGTATCATCGAAGAGTTTGAAATAGAAGTCGGAGATAGAGTCACTAGATAGGACACTGTAAACTATCTCAGGAGAATGAAAACCTCAGGAAGAGAGGACGAACTATGAAAGCCTCAAATGAAACTGACAAAATAGATGAAGCGCAGCTTTCGAACTTGATCACTAGGTGTAAGGTAGCCGACATCATAATGTATAATAGGGAGAGAATCGAGCAGGCCGTAAAAAGCGGCAGAAGCATAGAAGCTGCGAAGGCAAATTTTCAATATATGCATTAGGGGCAAAGAAAAGGAATGTCATAACCAATATAGATAGAATAGTTGAGGCAGAGGAGAGTTCTACAGAGAGCTGTACACAATGTGAAACAACCAGGATGATATTTTAATAAGAAATATTAGCCAAGAGGGCTTCGACATCGCACCAGTAATGACAGTGGAAGTAAGGAACGCTCTAGAAGGAATGAAGAGGGGCAAAGCCGCTGATAAGGATAAGGTAAAAACGTACCTGCTGAAAAACGGTGGAAAAATTGTATTAGAAAGACTGGCTACTTTGTATACGAAGTTTTTCTTGACGGGAAGGGTACCATAACCTTGGAAGAACGCCATCATCTTAATTCATAGGAAAGGAGATGTCAACGACTTCAAAAGTTACAGGGTAATCAGCTTACTGCCTGTTCTTCACAAACTGTTCACAAAACTACTAGCAAAGTGAATTAAGGCAACAACAGTTTAGTCAACCAAAAGACCAATCAGGATTTCGTAGAAACTACTCCACAATATACCATATTTATAGCATTGAGGTAAGAGAGAAATGCGAAGATTACAGCCAAACCCTATACATTTCTTTCATAGATTATGAGAAGGCGTTTGACCAAGCCGAGACATCAGCAGTAATGCAGTCACTACAGAATCAGGGCATCAATGGACCTTGCATGATCATAGTGGAGGAAATCTGCGGTGAATTTACCGCCCCCATAGTTCTCCGAAAAGAATGCAACAGAATCCCAATAAAAAAGCGTGTGAGGCCGGGAGAAGCGATCACTCCGGTGTTTTTCGCGTGTTTAGATGTAGAGTTTTCAGGGCTCTAGTGTGGGAAAAGTTAGGGATATGGGTTAATGGACAGTATCTTAGTAACCTGCGATTCAGTGACCACATTGCCAGGATGAGTAACTCAGCGGACGTATTATGACTGATCCTTACTGAACTAAACACCGAAAGCAGATGAGTAGGTCTGAAAATAATATGCACAATGTTATGGTAATGTGCAACAGGCTCGGCAGGAAACTGCACTTACTGACAAGTAGAGACGCGCTGGGAGTTGTAAAGGAATATGTCTGCTTAAGACGAGCCGCAACCATGGAGACGAACCATGAGAGTGAAATAACTACAAGAATAAAAATAGGCTGAATCATCCATCTTCTCGTATGTGCCACTGTCTGACAACAGGTTTTTAACGACGTACGCCACGAAATTGTGACATTATTTACGCCTTGACCAGTGCGTCCTATTCATCAAATTATATTACCCTCCCATACTAATTTAGGTTCACGCCAAGTTAAGCGGGTGACAATGAGAGCACGCACACGTAATCGGCTAAATGGATAGATAAATAAATGGATACAATGATAGATGCCAAATGTGCTTCAAGTACGCAAAGAACTGCTTCACATTTAAAAAGTCACCCGAAAGCGAAAACATGGTTAAGTAGCTGCGCAGCAGCTGGCGTCAAGCAACGTCTATATCATACGCTCTGGCAGCTTTGAAGGTAAAAAAATGAATATATGTTCCATAATTCATCTAGGAGAAATGTTTTTTTATTTAGTGATCTTCCACGTGAAGCGATAGAAAATGGTAATTATGCTCTTCACGCAACACTAACTGGAGTGGAGCTTTTCGCAATATTATTGACATCATGGTACATAAAACCATTAGCGAAATAAATATTTTAACATTCTCAACTTAAGTGCAAGTTTGCTGTTATTCTTGAATGACAACACGAAATAGCGGAAAGGGGCTCTATCTAAGGAGCAGTAGTGCTATCCAGAAAAGCCCCCAAAGACTATTGCGTAATAGCGTTCCAATATGAGTGCATGTTCGGTCCTTGAATGCCCTTGTAGATATCGTGGCACACAGAGTGTGACCGGGTAAGTGCCTCAGTGGAATAAAATATGGTGACATTTTGAAACTCGGGATTAATTGACGATTGTATTGCGAATATTTTTTATTTGTTCAGAGGGACGCGTTTTGCGGGGAAGTCAAAGTTGAGGCTTTTTTTTTTGATAAACCTATTTGTCTATGTATTTATTTGTTGCAGGCCTCCTATAGGTATTGCCTACGTCAAGATTCTCCAATATACAATCATTACAAAAATGCGACAAAGCAACACAAATACATACAAAAATCAAAGCAACAAATAGGTATAAAATTCCCAATTATGTGTCAACGTTGTGTCAGAATATATACAAGGAACAAAGTGAACAAGCAGGGAAAAAAGCTTTTTATGTGGTATTTACCGATCAATAACACTTCTCATAGCACAGAAAGAATATAATTGGGCTGTGAGCGGGGATGACTTCCCAATTACAAAAGAGTGATCGCTTTATACACTTGGTGAACTTTGAAAACTGAGAGTACATGTTTTGTATTTGTACAAGCCGATCTTTTAGAGGGCCTGTACAATAGCTTCCACTTGCTAGAGATTGACAATTGTGTTTCGCAAAGATCCCCACGTGGTTACAATGAACAATACATATTTGGTCACGCGGACAAGGATTGATTTATTCAAGCAGAATGACCACTCATCGGAAGACGAGCACAGTGGATTATTTATACGCATTACGTTCTAGGGTATCAGCCTGGGAAAGGACTTTGGACAACAAAAAACATGTTTCCTTCCTAAAAGCGCCAGCTCATCTCTCCCCCCCCCCCCGCTCAAAAAAAAAAAAAACGGTCGTAGAATTGAGCGACAGAGTGCTTGAATTTCACCTTGTAGGGTTTTACGATGTCAAAATAAACTCAGATGTTAGCCGACATAGCTCGAGTCGCTCTGCTTTTTTCCTGCTGCTGCAATTACTGTAAACCCCATCATAGCGGAACTCACAATTACACACCAACGCGCTACATTTATGATCCGGGACTGCAGGCCAATAATTTTTTGATGATTTATAGTTGAACTGTTCACAAGTGCCCTTGTGCGCAGAATGTTTTCTTGAGCAATCTTTTTAAAACGACTTGAAAACACCCTGGAATGGTTCCTTGAATTTCTCCACCCTCTTCAGAAATAGCATTGCATCTACTGGTTAACACCAGGAATACTATTTGGACCTCGGTGACCAATTCATTAATGCACAAGTGTTCGGTGCGGTAGTCACTTTTGCGTTGCGTTCGTAATTCATTTGAGAGAGAAACTCTTAGCGCCTACCAACATCTTCAAGCTGTCGAGGGCATCCCGTAAATTAGGAATACATCTCAAAATTCCACAGTAAGACGCTTGTTTGACGAACAAGATTGAACGGTCATAACACAAATAACGTGAACCCTCTGCCAATCAAGCCAGAAAGTTCTTTCAACCATTGAGGTGGGGCAAATTGCCGCCTATCAGCTGCCCGTGGCAATTGAATACGCGACACAGGTGATTTCCAGACTACATCTACTCAAACTTTGTAAATAACGCAGCAGCATGATGGAAACAATGAGGCACAATATTATGCGCCGGTGTCGGCAGGGCTGTACATTGGTGAAATGCTTGAGTGAAAGCAAATAATGAAAATAACTGTTCCAGTGGGATTCAGCTTGGGCTTTCAGCATGGTAGTCAAGTATTCTGCCTCTGAGCAATGCCACTGCTTCAAGCTGCGGCTCTAAAAATATGCTATTTAAACTTTTGGTTAGGATGGACAATGGCTATGATTCCGCAAGCCACATAAAGGACCACGTGAACACGCCTACGACACTTACTTCAGATATTCACTCGATTTCACTGTAGCACGCACTTCCCCGCCATGAAAAGGACATCTGCGCCCTAACATGTGCACCGACGTTAGGTCAGGGCTATGAGCTAAACCTTGCATGCGCCAGTGCACTTGGTGTGGCTGATGAGCCTACAATATACACAGGCCCACTCAATTGACACAAAAACATCCATACGCCTCGAAACACTTGTTTCAAAACAGGGACGTTGGCAGAACATTTTTTTAGAGGGGAGGGGGGGGGAAGGCACTTTCTTAATATCGGGGTGGTGAGGCATCACCTTGATATGGTCATTTTTCGCTTTGTATTCCATGGTGAAAAAAAAATTGGGAAGTGGAGCGCATGGGTCATGTGTATCACCTCCTGGCTATGCTACTGTTTCCAAGTGGAAACAACGCAGCCTGAGCTGGTGCTTTTGACTTCCTTGCATGTAATTGATTCGCAATATGTGTAGAATTGGCGTAATCATTTACAGCGCAGCTGTTACAGTAATATAGGTGTCACACGTAATATATATGTTACACTTATTATAGGTGTTCGGAAAACAATCATCATCGTGCAGGGCATCTACTTTTATAGTGCGTGCGGCGCAATAACTCGGCGGGCGCGCGTTTTTCTTCCTCCTCTTCGGCCGTTGCCTCGCTCCTCTATAGCATGAGCGCCCGGCGCGCGCTGTCCCAAGGTGTATAATTGTTCCGCATTGAACGCCATAAATCGCATAGGCAAGAAAACGAGTACAGACAGAGAAAAAGGTGTGGAGGGGAGAGAGAGAGAAAACAAAAAGAAGAATAATGATTTCTTTTCGAAATAAATTTCTTGATCAGGAAGGATTAGAAATCGCAAACCCCCGATCCGAAGGCGAGCATCGCAACCACATGGCTATGCAGGCACCTTGGTAGATAAAAAAAAAACCCTTGCATGTTAAAGCTCTGCTGAAGGAGAATGATTTGATTGATTGATATGTGGGGCTTAACGTCCCAAAACGACCATACGATTATGAGAGATGCCGTAGTGGAGGGATACGGAAATTTCACCCCCTGGGGTTTTTTAACGTGCACATAAATCTAAGCACACGGGCCTACAACATTTCCGCCTGCATCGGAAATGCAGCCGCCGCCGCCGCCGGGGATTCGATCCCGCGACTTGCGGTTCAGTAGCTGAGTACCTTAGCCACTAGACCACCACGGCAGTGCGGAAGGAGAATGAGGGTAAGGATGAATGAAGAGAGCAAAGGATAGCTTAGAAAGAAATAGACAAATAGAAAGAAACGAGCAGCAAAAGAAGAAAAAAAAGAGAGAGAGAGAAAAGTAGCAGGCAGAGATAAAGAGATAGAAAGAAAGCAGAAGCCTGAAGTACGGATGGAGAGAGAGAGAGAGAGAAAGATTGATAAAGTCCGAGAAAAAAGAAACGATTGATAAAGGGAGAAGGAGAAAAAATAGAAAAAGACAGGAGTATAACAGACAGAAAAGATAGAGAAAAAGAAAGGGGCGAGAAACATAAACGGGAAATAAATATATACAAACAAAGCCACCCAGCTCCCAACTTCTTTTAAGCATGGCACCGCTAGCCCAAAGCTGCGATAATTGTTTTTTTGAATACGCTTTGGCAACACTGTCAATGGCCATATGGCCGGCATTTCTAGACAATACAGCAAACGTCTATGCTGGCAAAACTGTAGCAAGCAGCTCGAAAGTGTCTTTCTCGTTGCGTAAGAAATTCGCCAATGGTCGCAGGACAACGTTTTACGCGTAATGGTGGGAAGAATCGAAACTCTTGCTCATTAGCTTGAGTGAATTTCTACTTACTTCGAAGAGACTCGATGCGGTAATGCTTCATACAATGGCAGCTCCGAATTTTCCAAGCAATGCAATGGAATAAAACGAAATGGGACTTTGAAGGTTTCCCAGAATTCGCAGAAGAATGAGGCTTGTCAAAGGGTTCGCTTTATACCGGTATGTGTCAACGCAATTATAAAAATACGAAGAAGCCCTGAAGACGCAAAATTGCAAGATGACGGCTAGGGGCTTTGTTCTTCAAGTAAACATATTCTTTGTGGGTCTTTATTAGACTGCGTGGTCAATAGCTACATTGATATTTTTTTATACTGACAGCGTAGACAAAGGCTTTTCGTGCTATTCGTAACATACGCATAAACAACCTGCTTTGTTCACCGAAACATACAAATGAAAATACAAGTGAACACCAGCGCTGCTTTGTGTCTTCACTGGGTTATTTTTAGTGGGAGATGGTGTAACGTTTTGAACGCCTGTGAATGGAAATATTTCCCGCAAGTATCTTCTCCAACGAGTAAGACTGATAGAGTTAGTTTCGGCTACTCCCTGTAAATTGGGGCACACAAGTCGGTCCTGCAAACAAATTAAAAACTTCCCCAACTTTATGCAGTTACACTCATCGTCGAAAATGAGAATTGCGGTGCACTTATCCGCCTCTACTTCAGATGCAAATTCAAGGAGTGTGTGTCATGGCGCCGGTTCATAAGACATCATTATGCGAACACTAAAGAGCACGGGACGAAACACCAGAGTAGAAGCAGACCGACCGAAAGCAGCCTGCGAGCGTTTAAAGGATCTTTGTTTCTTGAGCAGCGATCGCGTTCATGGGCAAATAATATTCTATTTATATGAAAGTTAAAATTGTTGGCGTCGAGAGCGCTTATATTCGAAAATAATTCACGCGCATAACCACTCATGGTTTACAGCATGCTACACATAATACAGAAGGCAGCCATATGTGATAGGGTCTTCAGATCTTAAATGCGAAGATTAAGGGTCACCCAATTTTTATAATTTTGTATGCATGCATACTAGAGTGGTATGAACTTATTGCGATGTGTAACTAAAAGATATTGCAATACATTTTAGTGTAACAACCGCCAGAGTGTTCGCGGAAGACAAGAGTGTCGTGTCGCTGTGAAACTGCTAAAGAGAACGATGGTTTCACTTGAAGTGTTCGTGTCAACATTAAGCCGATATAGCACAAGATAAAGCTGGAACTGAAAGTATGTGCAGTGCTTAGCCCCAAAGTTTTGCGTTTCAGTACATTAGTAGCGGGTATATCACAACTTCACACTTGTTTTGATGCCTCTCTGCTTCCATGTATGACGGCGGATAAATGTTCAGAAGTGTAGCCTGTTTTACTTAACCAGTCATACCCTTGATATCAGAAGATGCTGAGAGCCTTAACTAAATGAAAAACTGACAGTAATAATTGAAATATGTCCGAACATGAAATTCTGCATGGCTTGGGTATGGGAATGTTATATTTCACCTAGGAGGCACACAAAGTGTAAAACAGCAGTGTGTTCTATCGAAGCATTCTTATATCCATGTCACATGACACAGGTTCTTGAAATGCCTTTTAAGGGATCGTCTATTGACTCAATGTTCAAGCATGAGCTGTTAGATGAGATCTTCTGAAGGCTGCGAATATCTAGTCTGTTAAGTCTACGGAGTAGCCAAGAACCTTATCGAAGCTTTGATAGTCATTGAGAAATGAAAGCAGAAACAGCGAGAACGTGTGTTTTTGTTCTCAGTAGGCTCCTATGCTCAGATTTAGAGAAAAAAAATTCTACAGATCCCACATACCTGGAAATCGACGTGTTGTGAAGCATGCAGAGAGAAGATGACCTTGTTGCAATTTTTTTTATTGAGCGACCCGCCATGAAATGACGCTAAATATATGAACACACATTGCACGCACAAACATATGTTGAAGAGTTGCAGATGTTTATATAACCAGTTGTTTGCACTTGCGCAATGATGCCAACTGCAACATGCGTATTAGCAACACCAGAAGCTGATATGAAGCGCTGATGCTCAAGAGGATGTTGGCGCTGGACACTCCTACATAAATCAACTTCTGCGCATGGCAGTATCAAAAAAGTACACGTGGAATGTTTACAAAACTGGGTGGCAGCACTGCAACCACTACTGACGTTTCCCGAAGATTAGAGCCTATTTGAAAAGTAGTTCTGAGACCTGACGTATATATAGTTCTGTGATAAAATGCTTCATTGCCACGCAAAACACTTGGGTTTGATTCCAGCAGGGACCCTGGCATTTATTCTTTGCATTCGTCGGGTCGAAGCTACCAATGTCAGGTATTCCTTAAGGCTCGCGCGTTCGAGTTGCCTGTGTGTGTTCTCGTCGTTCCTGGGTGGATACTAAGTGTCAATCACCTGTGGCACATACCCGCATACTAGTGGCACATACCAGCCAATAGGTATGTGCCACTCTCTGGCGGGAGGTGTTTGACGGATTATGACATTATTCATGTCATGATCAGCGCGTCATATTCGTCAAACCATCTTACCCCCGAAAGCTAATTTTGGTTCCCATCAAGTTAAGGGCGTGACCACGAGAGCAGACAAATGTAAGCGGCTAGGTAGATAGATAGATACGCTCAAAGTCACAGAAGTTTGCTAACAAATGCTTCGCATTTGAAATCTAAGCAGTAAGTTCTAAAGCCAGCATATGTGAGAGATATGACTCATTCAACGAAGCGCAGTTCCTTTCGAAATGTGTGAGCTCCACATACACTCGACAACCGCAACCTGCTTTTATTCATCGTGCCGTCCTGCCATCTCTCACTCACCATAGCTTCACGTCTCAACAAGTTAATAAGAAGGCTTTTTTTTAAAGTCAAACTGCGTAGGTAGCTACGAATCAACAAGATATTGAATTGCCTTAACAAAAGAGAGTTATGCAGTCTTGAACATTCTCTGTATTAAAGCCATGCCGACAAAAAAGAGGCAGACACGAACAGAAGTGGATCAGACAAAGCGTTTTGTCTTATCCACTTCTGTTCATTACTGCGTCTTCTTTGTGAGTATCGTTTTAAAACAGCACATACCAAGATTCCGACATAAACTCACTAGCCCCCGTCATCACCTTAAAAAAACGAACTTGTGTTTTTGAAAAGAATTATAAAAACTAGATTATTATGACAGAGAATGAAAATAAAAATCCGAAGCACAACAAAATTGTTACAAAAAAAACCTGAGCAACTCGACGGTCATTAAACTTTCAAAACCGAACTACAATATGTCACACATGTTTCCTACCTCAAGTATGTGGAAAGCGTTAACAATACGTGCGAAGGAAACCAAAGTGTATTGAAACCACGGTCGGAAAAGCTGAATATACTTCAACGCGCTGGAGTGTCAACTCACTCACACTTAGTTAAAGCCATGAGTGTGAATGAGTCCGGCTGCAAATATTTTTGGTGAGCTTTAGAACGAGTGAATCCGGTTGAGGAAAAAAAATAAGAAGTACGAGTGAGAGTGCATTATTTGATGCGAATTTTTTGTGGTGTTGAGCCCAAGTAAGCCTCAAGCACAAAGATATTTCTTGAGTGATTCTTTGTCAGCTTCACTTTTTGAACTGACCTGTGGGGATATATACTACAGTACCAACCTAGTGTAAGTCAGGGTAGAAAACACACTAGGCTGGTGTTTTCCCATAAAATACACAACACGCCTCACCAATCTTCGCATTAGAACACTCCCCACAGGGCATGTATTCCCACCGTAACACATCCCACCAGGCTCGTGACTCACTAGAACGCTCCATACCACGTTGAATAAACTCACATACTACACCAAAAGAGCCTGGTGTACTTTAAAGAAACAAGTTATCCCGCTAGTGGTGCTACAGAAAACACCAGCACTGCCTGGTATGTTCAGCGCTATAATATTTCGCCCGCGTTTTCTCGGAAGCCTCTACTAATGATCGGCAGCATTTTATGACCATGCTTGACACTGTTGCAGGGAAACTTTAATGCTAGCTTTCAGTTTACTTCGGCTTTTTCTCTATTAAAATAATCGGAGAGAACGCAAGTTTACTGTTATCCCGCCACGGTGGTCTAGTGGCTAAGGGCTGCTGACCCCTAGGTCGCGAGATCGAATCCAGGCTGCGGTGCTGCATTTAAGATAACGGCGGAAAATGCTTTGTGCAGTGAGCTCAGATTCGGTGCCACGTTGTTGAATCCCAAGTGCTCAATATTTCGAAGCCCGCCACTACGGTGTCTTCCATATTCATATGGCGGTTTTGGAACATTAAACCACATATATCAATCAATCTATAGTATACGGTATACCTCATAATCCCGTATGTTTTGTACCTATATGCATTTTATTTATTTGTACTTGTTTCTGCATGTATCCTTTAAAATTGAAATAAACTAATAAACACCTGGAATCAACCTAAAACACACCAGAAAACATCAAACCCATTCTGAACCAACACTTCAGAAGTTGTTAACACGGTGACGCGAAGAAACCCATGTAGCTCGGCTATCTAGGTGTTGTGGATGGGTGAAAATAGTGATCAACGAACAGAATAAGTATGGCTACTTCAGTCAGAATCAAGCCTGGGCCTTCTGTACGGCCTTCGAGCCTTCTGCGAGAGACCCACGCCTGTGCTTGCAAATGACTTAAAAATAAACGCCTATAATCACCTTGTCGAAACGGCAGATGCTGATGGCACTATCATCTGCCTATTTGATATCAATTCACTGAACGCAACATATGTTGCACCATTATTACGTAAGCTATAATGAAGGGCTGTGTGAATACGGCTATGTGACCGCAAGTTCTCATATGCACATCATGGCAAGGTAATGTACTCATCCCGGCAATAGATTTGACATCTCAACTCTAATGTGAGTGCAGACATGATGCCAGACAATTAGGAACCTTTTACAAGCCCGTGTGCTCGTCTTGTCTAGTAAGCCCACAATATGAGCGCTACTCTATTTGCTCAAAGGCGTCGATAAACCTCGATACGTTTGGCTCGAAGCGAGAAAACCTAGCCAGCTAGGGTCTGGGCTCGGTTTGACATCTGTATCTCTGTATGACTGACGAATCTGTATGAAACCATTCCTGCAGTCTCTGGGGCTGGCGGTATAGTGGCTAAGGTACTCGGCCTGCTGACCCACA